GAGAGTCATTCCCGGGGAGGACATCTGGCCTGGGGAAGGGCCTGTGTGTGTGTGTGTGTGTGTGTGTGTGTGTGCGCGTGTCCATTGGGGATGGGGGTCGGACCTCACCCCCTCTGCCACCCAGACCTGCGCACACTTACCGGAAGCGGGGTGAGTCTTTGAGACACTCCTCGAAATCCAGCTTGACCGTCATCTTGCTCCGCTGCACGGGGGGGATCAGACGGGCAGGGGCTGCAGGGGGAAGCGCTCCCTGCCCCAGGAGGGGTTGGTGAGGAGGAGTGGGGGGGAGGTCCTCTCCTGGGGAGAGCCTGGGGGTGGGGGAGGGGGCTCAATCCCTTCCCTAAGGGTTAGGGGTGTGCAAGGAGGAGCTCTCACCTCACACTTGCAGGCAGTACTGGGAGGGGCAGAGGCGGGGCCAGGAGGAAAAGCCACAGCCCCACCCACACAGACTATCTGCAGTCCCCTTCTTACCAGAGTCCCCTTCCCCGATTTTTTCTCCTTTAGCCGTGCTGGGGGCTGGGGGTGACTGGCAGATACAGGCTCCAGTCCTGATTCTGTCACTCAGAGACTGTGTGACCCTGGGCAAGCTCTCTGATTCCTCAGTTTCCTCATCTGGAAGATGGGCACGACAACCTCCCCCCCCCCCCCCCACCGCCCCGCCCAGAGATGTCGTAGGAATTAAAGAGGACATTGGTACATTCGTGGTTTTGGGGTCCCACCAACCACCGTCCCCCTGCTGCAGTGGGGGGGCCTTCTGGGCCTCCAGAGTCCAGTGCCCCAGGCTGTTCCAAGCTTTCTTCTCCGCTCCTCTGCCTGCTGTGGTTTCCTGTATGCAGACGTCCTTCCCTCCGCCCCTCTCCTCTGTGGCTGAGCAGGCCCATGCAGGGCCAACGACTCGGAGCACCCAGACTCCCCGCACTTTTCTTTATTGTCCACCTTGAGGACAGTGGGCAGGGGGAGGCTGGGCCCCACCCCATCCCCAGCTGGCTACATTTTCCATTGTTTGGCTTCGCCCTCTTGTGTCCATTGAAGACGCAGGGTTTCATCTGGGGAGAAATGACTGGGTTACTGGCTTCCTTGCAGGAGGCAGGAGATCTGGCCCACGTGACCCTGAAACTCCCTGGAACCCACCCATTCAGGCCCTCTCTCCGGGGCTGGCTCAGGCGGCCCCCTTGCCCCCCACCCGCCCAGGCTCACGTCTGCTTTGGTTTTGGTGTGGGGACTTCCGGTGGCTGCCAGGCTGCCTCTCCAAGCTTTCTGGCCTTTGCCAGGTGAGCCCCTTGGATACCAGGCACTGACAGACACCAGCCTGACTCTGATCTGAACCCGTTGTCTTTGGAGGACAGGGCGGTACCTGGAGGGGGGTGGGGGCAAAGGGGAATCAGGGGGAGGCGCGGGACCAACAGCTAGTGCCAAGCTGGAGGGGGTCCCAACCCCTTCTGAGCCTCCCTCGTTCCTCTCTGTACAACGTGGGCCCTGCACACCAGGATGCCCGAGGCCGCTCTTAGCATCTGTTGAAGGTATACTGGTATGCAAAGAAGGGGGGGTGGGGGGATGGGAGCTTGTCAAGAGCCAGCTATTGGGGCCTGGTGCCCTCACCAGGTTGCGATTTTGTCACTGTCACTTTCAGGCGGTCCTTGGTGGCCTTGTGATCCTGAATGGGGCTTCCTGGGTGGCCCAGCAGACGGACCTCAGTGCTTACGGGATTCTCAATCACCCAGCTCAAGTTTGCAGAGCCTGGAAACACCACAGGGTCAAGGCTGGGGCACCCATCAGTCTGGGGTTGTCAGCACCCCCCCGCCCCAGGCTGACGCGGCCCAGCTCTCACTGTCCTGCTCCTCATGCTCATCTTCTGTGTCCTCCTCCAGCTCGGGGTGGGGGAGCTCCTCAGGTATCTTCCTTTGATGTAATACTCCTTTCGTTGTTGCAGACCACTTTCCTGGCCTGACCTGATGGTGGCTGAAGCTCGGCACTGATTTCTTTTTTTTTTTTCAACGTTTATTTTTATTTTTGGGACAGAGAGAGACAGAGCATGAACGAGGGAGGGGCAGAGAGAGAGGGAGACACAGAATCGGAAACAGGCTCCAGGCTCTGAGCCATCAGCCCAGAGCCCGACGCGGGGCTCGAACCCACGGACCGCGAGATCGTGACCGGAGTCGAAGTCGGACGCTTAACCGACTGCGCCACCCAGGCGCCCCTCGGCACTGATTTCTGAAGGCAGGGGGATCTGCCGAACCATCCAAGTCCATCTGGGTCTTATGGCCACCTAGGGTATCCAGGACCCCCAGGTGTCCATTATGGCCCCCTCCACAGGGGAGAAGTTCCAGCCCTGGGTTTTCATCTCACTTCTCTGGCCTCTTCCCGTATTAGAAAATCCCAGTGACCTCTCCATCCCCCATGGTTCTCTTGGGCTTCCTGAGGACTATTCTGATGAGGCCCCCACCCCACCCGCCTTCCGTCTTCCCTGGGGGTCACCTGCCATTACCTCCCTCCCAGGTAGCAAGGCCCTGGGCCAATGGCCCCTAAGAAAGATAGGGTATGGCAAAGACTCTGGACTACAATTCCCACAAATCCCTGGGGCTCCACCACAGCTAACCCTTGGCTTCTCGGATGTGGTTCCCGGTGACCAGGCCAATCTCATCGTTGACTCCTCTGGCCAGTCCTCCTGTCCAGCCTCTCTCCACAGGCCTGGGCTCTGGGTCCAGCATCACGCCCCGACCGCCACTGCCCGTATTGGCACGGCCTGCTTTGTTGTCGTGCTTATTATCATTGAAGGAAAAACTTTTCTGAGTCTCGAAGACCTTTCCTTCACCGTAACGTGTCTTTCGGCGGTTTATGAAGTCACTGGAGTCTGTGGGCCATTGTAAACAGCTTGGCTTTCCGGCCAGGCTCTCGCTGACGGTTCACTCTGCCTCCCCTTTCCGCTCAATCCCCACCCCTCATCTCACGTGTCTTGGAAAAGTGGTCTGGAGCTCCCAAACTTCTGGTATCACCATACTGGAGGACCTTGGGATAGAGATTGTCCATTTTTGCCAACCTGAAGAGGAGGGAGACTGGTTGCGGGCACCAAACAGAGAGAATGAGGAGGGGCAGGTGGTAGATGTAGCTGGCTAATTCCCCCACCTTGGCCTTGGTCAGTCCAGATGGGAATTGTAGTGCCTCCCATTTTGGTGGCCAAAAAGCAGAGCTGGCTCAGACCTCAGAGCTCAGGGGTGGAGGGAGAAAGAGGCCCCACATCCCTACTGACCTCTGGCAGGACTCTCACCTCTTGGCCAGCACCTCCGGAGTCACTGAGGGAGAGGATGCCCCAGGCAGGTCCTTATCACTCTCCTGCAGCCTGCAGACGAGGGAGTAAGCAATGGTGAGGGGCAAGCATCTGGAAGTATCCAATCCCTGGGGCCTCTCTGCCTCCCCCACTGCCTTTGAATAGGGAAGGGTCTGGGCTAAAAGGTTGGGGCTGAGGGCTCAGCACCTGTGGTAGGGAGTGCTGGGTTCATTCACCTTCATAAACCCATAGTCCTTGTCAGCAGGGTGGTAGGTGACTAGGATATTCATTTCGTCCCACCGCTGAGACTTGTTCCTGGCGTAGGAGGACACAGAAAGGTGTAGGAAAACTTCCAGCGACCTCCTCCTCACAGCCCTCCCACTTTCTTTCATTCAGAAACTTCTTGTACCGCTCGTAGTCTCAGAGGCGTAGCAGTGAGGGCGGGGGTCACGCCTAACGATAATCACACACGGTGTAGCCAGCGTTTACCCTGTACCTGCTCTCCCGGAGGCCTGGAAGCTCAGATTCCACCCCCCCCCCCCCCCCAAGCCCTCAGCTACTCTCTCTTCTAGTTCTCAGGACCCCGCCCCTTCCTCCTAGCCCCGCCCCCTCCAGTGTCCGAAACCCCTCCCTCCGGGCTCCGAGCCGGGTGGCAGCCGAGCTGAACTCTTTACTTCTCCGCAATGGGGGATTTCTGCATCAAGACGGAGCCGTTGCTTTTTAGGATGCTCCGGGGCCGGTCCTCACAAGGTTTGTGGGAGTGCAAGCAAGTTGACTTGGAGCGCGGACTGCGTCCGGAGTTGTACGCCCCAGACCCCTCGGACCCGAGCCTGTAGGTCCCGGATACTCTAGTTTCAGGGAAGGGGCCATGTAATCCGCTTGGGTACGGGCCGGACCCAGTGCCGAGGTTCGCAACCTCCCCAGGGTGCTGGTTGGGTCCGGAACCGAAGACTGCTACGCCCCCGGAGGGCCGGCTAGATTCAGGACTGCGAGTTACGATTCCCCCGGGGTGCAGGGAGGGCCCAGAACCGTGAAACGGGACTACGCTGGAGGGCGGCCCGGCGTCTGCCTCGACCGTGATTCCTCCGGACACACCCATGGTCGCCTCTCCCGGGGATTCCCCACTGCGGCCGCCGGCAGCCCCCAGAGCCTCGGGCTTCTCCATGGCCCCATCCGGGGACCTCTCTTAGCTGCCCCGCCCCGCTCCGCCTACTTGTTCCTCATAGCCCCGCCCCGAGGCCCCGCCCCCACCGTGGCGTTGGGCGGAGGGGCGTGGAGGTCGGGGGCTCGGGCTGAGGCCCGGGTCCCCTCCCGCTCAGCTACCTGGAAACGCGGCCCCGGCATCGAGACTTTATATAGGGACCTCGGGCTAGGGGCCCCTCCGGCTGCCCCACCCAAAGGCCTTCTTTCTTTGTCTCTGGGATTTGTTCCCGCCCTTCTTCCCCATCACCGCCTTCATCCGAATTATCCAATCATAGTCAGGGGTCCCGGTCATGGGGCGGAAGCCTTCATTGTGACGTCATAGTCCTCCAACCTCAGCGCGAGCTCGGACCGCTGGGCTGGGGGCCTTGATAGCTCGGGGTTTTGGGGGCAGGACCGTCAGTGCCATTGCTTGAATCTGCCTGCCAGGGTTTCATTGGACTCTTCATCCGTGGCTTTAAAATTTAAGGGTTTGGCTAGATTGGAGTTCAAGTGGGCTTGTTTAGGAATATCACGAGCCCCTTCCCTGGCCCCCCCCCCCCAAGTCGACGCGCTTTGCCTCTCACGAGAAGTGCGCTACACAGTGGAGGGACTGCGACAGTGTCGCAAAATATATCCGGTCTCGGTGCGAGGGCAGAGGTTTTTATTTATAAAGCTACCGGTTCCCTTCTCTGGATGCTCCAGACGCCGCTCTTACGGCGTCGAAGGGTGTAGCGCGAAGGCAAGACACCTCCTCCTGTTGCCGTAAAGCGAAAACTTCAAGGCGTCTCCTGCCTCGGCGGGGGCGGGGTCGTTGGGGCCGCTGTCGCAAAGCTGAAGGTGGGGGCCGGCACCCCCTGCGTCGTAAAGATGCCTGAGGCGGTCGTTTCTTCTACTGTCGCAAAAGCTCGCTGCCCAAGTCTGCACCCCACTCTGAGCCACTCCGTCACCTGGCCGTGCCGTAAAGCAGGCCTGCCCGACCCCGTCGTCCTTCTGTTCCCACCGCGGTGGTCATTAGTTCCCTAGCCCGGGCTGCTTCGTTGCCCGGCAGTGCCGTAAAGCATACCTGGCCCCAGCCCCGAGCCCTATTCCCTCCGGGTGTGTGTGCACCGCGGTTGCCACGGTGCCGCCAAGCGCGGCTGTCGCGCGGCCCGGGTGTCAGCGGCGATGGCGGCGGGGTCGGGTGGGAGCGGGGGCTCCGGGGGAGGCCCCGGGCCGGGGCCGGGTGGGGGTGGGGGCCCCGGCGGGAGCGGCCCAGGGCCGGGGTCCGGCGGGGGTCTGGGCAGCGGCGGGGAGCTGCACCCGCGCACCGGGCGCTTGGTGAGCCTGTCGGCCTGTGGGCGTACAGCGCGGCGGCAGCAGCCGGGCCAGGAGTTCAACCACGGGCTGGTGTTGAGCCGGGAGCCTTTGCGCGACGGCCGCGTCTTCACCGTCCGCATCGACCGCAAGGTGCGGAGCTGGGTCCGCGGAACCGAGATGTGGAGGGTGGTGGGAGGGGGAGAGCGAGAGGCGGGATGGGGGACAACCCGGGCAGCCCCATCGCCGGGCACCGAGAGGGAACCGACGGACCTTATGGGCACCCGGTGACGGGCAGGAGGGGAGCGGGAAGTAGAAACATGGAGTCTGGAGGGGAAACGGGTAAGGAGAGCTTGATTTCCTCCGGACCCAGGAGCAGGGAAGGGACACGGGCTTCAGCCCCTAGAATGGCTGGGGAACAGGTCTCCTGGAATGGCTTGTGGCAGGCGGAGGACGGAGAGATGTCAGGGACCTGACAGGAGGAGAGAGAACCAGGCGAAGTACAACCATCGGAGGATAAACTGAGGCCGGAACGATGGGTGGGGAGGGACACTCAGGGAGAGGGAGGTGTGCCTCTTGTGTGTCGTTTGGTGACGAGGCCGGGGGCACAGAGGTGGAATTTGGGAAGTGAGTGAATCTGAGTGGAGCCAGGGCCTAGAAGAGAAATGGACCAGGGGAGGAGGAGAGCGGTGTACAAGAGCAGGGAGAAAGGACTCGGAGAGCTGTGCATCTGGGTGGCTGAGAAGTCACAGACACCGGGCACTTAGAGGAGGCAGGGGGCTGCAGCCAGGGAATTTAGCCCAGACGGTGGGGACAGGCATGGTGTCAGAGACACCGAGCCGCCAGAGTAGGGAGCAGAGTTGCTAGGGGACGGCGGTGCCCACGGTCCCTGAGACAGAGTCCAGGAAGTTGCTTGTAGGACCGCACCTCTGGGTTAGTGTCCCGCGTCTCAAGGGAGAAGAGCCAGCTGGCTGAGACGTGGCAAGAGGGGGGGACACGGTGGTCTGTGAAGTGTGGTTTCCTAGTGGTGGGAGACCCGTGGGGGCCCTTCCTGAGTCCCTGTCCACCACTCTCGTCGCAGGTCAACTCCTGGAGTGGCTCCATTGAGATTGGGGTGACGGCACTGGACCCCAGTGTGCTGGACTTCCCGAGCAGCGCCACGGGGCTGAAGGGGGGCTCATGGGTGGTGTCGGGCTGCTCAGTGCTGAGGGATGGACGTTCTGTGCTGGAGGAGTATGGTCAGGACCTGGACCAGCTCGGTGAAGGGGACCGTGTGGGCGTGGAGCGCACAGTTGCCGGGGAGCTGCGGCTCTGGGTGAACGGGCGGGACTGCGGGGTGGCCGCCACGGGCCTCCCCGCCCGTGTCTGGGCCGTTGTGGACCTTTATGGCAAGTGCACGCAGATCACCGTGCTACCCCCTGAGCCAGGTTTCAGCCCCCCTGCTCCCATCCCTACACCCCCCCTCGAGCCCTCCGCGCCCCCTGAAGATTCTGCCTTGACTGAACAGGGGACCCCGGGGGACGAAGGTGAGAATACAGCTCGGGCAGCGGTGGAGGGGCGGGGCAGGGGGACCGGCTGAAGGAGTGGGTGACGTGTAGTGACACGTGAGGCTGGGTGTGGGCAGGGCCGCTCCGACCCCTTTCCCCCCCACCCGAGTCTGTTGAAGGGGAAAGCAGGGGCTAGAGGAGGGGGTCTCCTGGCTGTGGGCCCCTGCAGCAGGGGCCGAACCCTCATTCCCCTCCCATCCCGCCTGGTCCCCAGCCTTCATGGTGTCCCCAGCGCAGGCCCGGCCGGAGACGTTTCCTAACAGCCTTGAGTCGCATAATGGTGAGGGCTTCCGGGAGGCTCTGGGAAGGGCAGTGGGAAGTGAGGTGGCCCAGGCGAGGGGAGGGACCTCAGGAGAGGGCCAGGGGGCGAGTGGCGAGCCAGAGGGCGTACGGCCTCATTCCAGCTTCCCTCCCCCGCCCCGCCCCTGCAGATTTTGCCAGCATGGAGCTCTCGGAGGTGGTGGGCAACGCCATCCTGTCTGCCTACAACGGGGGGCTCCTAAATGTGAACCTGAGCTCCCCCCCGGCCGGGGAAGGACCGGGGCCCAGCGGCGCTGCCACCTCGCCTGTCCTCACTTCCAACGACGCCCTGCTCTTTCACGAGAAGTGCGGAACTCTCATCAAACTCAGCAACAATAACAAGACGGCCGAGCGCCGCCGGCCCCTGGATGAGTTCAACAACGGCGTGGTCATGACCAACCGTCCGCTCCGGGACAACGAGATGTTTGAGGTGTGCGAGATCCCAGGCTCTGGTTGGCACGTCACTCTCCGGGGGCTCGAGACGGGGCTTGACCCTTGACGTTAGAAGGGTGGGGCCCAAGAAAGAGCCGGGGACTGAGGGGCCCTGTTCTGTGCTCACGTTCCCCGTCTCTCCCTTCTGTCGTCACCCCTCCCAAGATCCGCATCGACAAGCTCGTGGATAAGTGGTCTGGCTCCATTGAGATCGGTGTCACCACCCACAACCCCAACAGCCTGGAGTACCCAGCCACCATGACCAACCTGCAGTCAGGTACCAGCCCCGGGCAGGGCGGGGGGCACCTTCCTAAGGCAGAGGAAGCCCGTGTCCTGAGCGGGGTGTCCTCTTCCCCCCCCAGGCACCATCATGATGAGTGGCTGTGGGATCCTGACCAACGGCAAGGGCACCCGCCGGGAGTACTGTGAGTTCAGTCTGGATGAGCTACAGGTGAGGGTGGGCGTGGAGCCTGGGCCCCTCTGTGGGGCAGCCCCGTTTCCCTGTGCCCCTGCCTGTGCACCACGGTCTCCCCTGTGACCCAGAGCAAGGCCTGTTAGCTTTTTTTAAATTTTTTTTTTTTTAATGCTTATTTACTTTAAACGTTAGAGAGAGGCAGAGCGTGAGTGGGTAAGGGGCAGAGAGAGGGAGACACAGAACCCGAGGCAGGCTCCAGGCTCTGAGCTGTCAGCACAGAGCGCGATGTGGGGCTCGAACTCACGAACCGTGAGATCATGACCTGAGCCGAAGTCGGACGCTCCACCGACTGAGCCACCCAGGCGCCCCAAGGCCTGTTAGCTTTTGCCTAGAGGTTCCTTCTGAGAAGGCAGGGCTGCCCAGTAGTTAGGCACTCGGGTTTCCAAGTCAGAGTTTTACTTTTTCTTAGTCGTTTGGCCATTTGTGGTGGTGACCAGAGGCAACAAACTCGTTCTCTTTGGTAGTTTGGTGGTTTTTTTTTTTTTTCCTTCTAACGTTTAAAATGAGCCTGTTAGTATTTTCTAGATTCCTTTGGGAGGTAGATGGGGTGATGTTTATGAGATGGCTTAATGCAGCGCTGGCCTCGGAGTGAGCGTTCGGGGCGGCTCTGTGACTGCGGCACCTTGGGAGCAGTTCCCCTGCGGCCTGGGCTGGCGGGCAGGCTTTAGGACCGCGTTGTTCCAGGGTCCCCAGGACAAGTCTGGAGCCTGACGGGGGATAGATTCCAGACTTTCGTCTTTTCTGCTTTGACCAGGAGGGCGACCACATCGGTCTCACGAGGAAGTCCAACTCTGCCCTGCATTTCTTCATTAACGGCATCGATCAGGGTAGGGGCCGCGCGGCCAGGGCGCTCGGTGCAGGGGTCTGGTCCTCACACTCCTGCCTCTCTTTGAGGCTGGTGTCCCTGTGTCTGACTCCTTCCTTTGCCTTCCACCCCCGCAGGCGTGGCCACCCCGCTGACGCCCCCGGTGGTGTATGGAGTGGTGGACTTGTACGGGATGGCGGTGAAGGTGACCATCGTCCATAATAACAACCACAGCGACCGTCTGCGCCGGAACAACGCCATCCTGCGGGCCCTGTCTCCCGAGGGTGCCCTCCGCCGCGCCGCCCCCGCCGCTCAGGCCGAGCCCGAGCGCCTGCTCTTCCACCCGAACTGCGGGCAGAAGGCGGCTATCACCCACGAGGGACGCACCGCCTTGAGGCCCCAGTATGGCCCAGGGGGTGGGGAGAAGCCCGCAGAAGGGGCTCTGACGGGCTTGCGGGAGGGGCGTGGGCGCGGGGGGCGGCGGGATTCTGAGCGGGGCCGTCGTGACAGGGAAGGGGGGAGCCTCCGGGACAGCGAAGGTCAGCAGGTGGGTTGGGGGCAGCAGGAGTCAGGCAGGCACCGACCGGGCCGGGGTGCGGCGTGCTCAGAGCGTGCGCTCGTGCCTGAGGCCCCACGTGCTGTGCCCTCAGTGCCACCGACGACTTCAATCACGGCGTAGTGCTGAGCAGCAGAGCCCTGCGGGACGGAGAGGTGTTCCAGGTGCGCATTGACAAGATGGTGGACAAGTGGGCTGGCTCCATCGAGATCGGTGTCACCACCCACAACCCTGCCTACCTCCAGTTGCCCTCCACCATGACCAACCTGCGCTCGGGTGAGCCCCCCAGCGGGGCGGGGCCGGGACAGGGTCCTCGGGAGGAAGCCACCCCCCGGAGCCCGGATGCTCGTGCTCTGGCCCTTTTTTCGCTTGTCACACTTGTGACGACGCATCCGGTGGCTGAGGCCTGCCTGTCACGTGGACGGGGCTTGTGGCTGGCTTGGGACGTGCAGGGTTTTCTTGTTCAGCTCTGGGAAGAGAGCCGACCGTCAGAAAAGGCAGGCCGGGCCAGCGGCTTTGCGGGGTGGACGCGGGCACCGCTGCACGACAGGAGCCCTGATCCCCGCTCACGTCCTCTGTCCCCCCTCGTCCCCCTAGGGACCTGGATGATGACCGGGAACGGGGTGATGCACAACGGGACGACCATCCTGGACGAGTACGGGCACAACCTGGACCGCCTCAAGGTGGGAGAGCGTGCGTCCGGCCGGGGCCCGGCGGCGGGAGGCGGGCAAGGCGGGGCTGCTGTAGGACCAGCCCAGGCGGGAGCTCTGCCTGACTCCTCACTCCAGCCCCCCTTCTTCCAAGGCAGGGGACACGGTGGGCGTGGTGCGGCGGGAGGACGGGACCCTGCACTTCTTTGTCAACGGGATGACTCAGGGCCCCGCGGCCTGGAATGTGCCCCCGGGTGTCTACGCAGTTGTGGACCTCTACGGCCAGGCGGCCCAGGCCACCATTGTGGACGACGTGGGTGAGGGCCGGAATGGGCAGGGGCAGGGGGTCGGGGTGGCCTTGGGGGGCCTCAGAGACCCCTGTGAGCCTAATGGGTGATGACCACTCATGCAGAGGTGCCCCCAGTCCCCGAGCCACTCCCCGAAGGGAACAACCAGGTGTCCCCGAGCTCCCCGTCATCGGGGGCCGGGGGCTCCGACCTGCGTTTCCACCAGCTACACGGCAGTAACGCAGTGATCACCAACGGGGGCCGCACCGCGCTCCGCCATAACTGCCGCAGCGAGTTCAACGACGCCATCGTCATCTCCAATCGGTCAGTGCCTGGGCCTTCGTGCTCCCAGCTTCCCGCTGCCCAGCCTCGGTCACCGAGCAGGGCCTGTCTGATTGCCGCTGTCCCTGGCAGGGCCCTGCGGGATGGGGAGCTGTTTGAAATCGTCATTCAGAAGATGGTGGACCGCTGGTCAGGCTCCATCGAGGCCGGTGAGGGCACCCGTGTGTGTGCGCGCACCGGGGGCGGGGGTGGTGGCTGCTGGCTGCCCACTGCTGGGGGCTTGGCTCTGACCTACCCCTGCCTCCTAGGAGTGACCGCTATTCGGCCAGAGGACCTTGAATTCCCCAACACCATGACGGATATCGACTATGACACGTGGATGCTGAGGTCAGATTGCCTGCTTTGCAGGCCGTGCGGCCGGCTAGGATGAGGGAAGCGAGGTTTGGGGCCCGCGGTGGCCCTGGGCAGTGACAGACCGGAGGGCTTCTGGGCAGCCTTCCCACATCGCCCCGCACCCTGCAGCAGCTCAGCCCCCTCTCCTCTCCGGGAAGCTCCTGCTTTTCTCTGTCCCGGAGGCATAGGAAACGGGATTGGGTCCCAGACCCCAGATCGAGATCCCAATCCAAGGCGCTGGAAGGTTCCTTTTTTAAAAAAAAAATTTTTTTAATGTTTATTTATTTTTGAGACAGAGACAGAGCATGAATGGGGGAGGGGCAGAGAGAGAGGGAGACACAGAATCAGAAGCAGGCTCCAGGCTCTGAGCCATCAGCCCAGAGCCTGACGCGGGGCTCGAACTCACGAGCTGCAAGATCGTGACCTGAGCCGAAGTCGGACGCTCAACCGACTGAGCCACCCAGGCGCCCCATCGCTGGAAGGTTCTGATGAGCAGACACCGAGCAGGGGCCTGTGTGGGAAAGAGCCGGGAGACTCACCGGCCCCTTCTGTCGCCCCTCCAGTGGCACGGCCATCATGCAAGATGGAAACACGATGCGCAACAACTACGGGTGCGACCTCGATGCGCTGGGCACAGGCGCGCGCATCGGCATGATGCGAACGGCCAAGGGCGACCTGCACTACTTTATCAACGGCCAGGACCAAGGCGCCGCCTGCTCAGGCTTGCCTCCGGGTAAAGGTGACTGCGCTGTGGCTTTCGGCCTGCCCGCCTCGTGCCGGTGCCCCGCAGGCTCTCGGACTTCTGACCCCTTCCTTTGCCACCCAGAAGTGTACGCGGTCGTGGATCTCTACGGCCAGTGTGTCCAAGTCTCCATCACCAACGCCACCGGCCCCATGGACAACAGCCTGGCGACCAGCAACACGGCCACTGAGAAGTCCTTCCCCCTGCACTCCCCAGGTACGGCCGGCGGGGCGGGCTCTGCTTCCTCACCGTGGGCCTGAGGGGGCCGCTTCCAGCTCAGGGAGCTGGGTCAGGACAGGCTCGCCCCTGAAGGGAGGGATGAGCCCAGGGTAGGCGGCGGCCAAGAAGAGGGGAGGAGGTCACGGCTGGCTGGAACGACCGACGGAGGCGCTTCTCGGCCACCAGGAGGCCGGGAGCCGGGCACGCCCACTTTGGGAACGGGTCTCTCGTGGGGAAAGAGGCGCCAGAGGCTCTCTGATGGCAAACAGAGGACTGATGGCAAACGGGGCCTTTCCGGCAACTTCCCGCTTCCCCCGAGAGCTCTGCTCCGTGTCCTTTCTGAAGCCTGCTGTCCCACTGTCCCCTCCCGCTGCACCTGTTCCCCACAGTGGCTGGCGTGGCTCACCGCTTTCACAGCACGTGTGGCAAGAACGTCACTCTGGAGGAGGATGGCACGAGGGCGGTACGCGCAGCCGGCTACGCTCACGGCCTGGTCTTCAGCACCAAGGAGCTCAAGACGGAGGAGGTGTTCGAGGTGGGCGGCGGGCCCCTCGCAGCGAGGCGGGCTGCCCCCCCCCCCCCCCCGCTGTCCCCCTGTCCCTGGCTAGCGCCGGCCGCCGCCTTCTGTCTCCCTCAGGTCAAAGTGGACGAGCTGGACGAGAAGTGGGCGGGCTCCCTGCGCCTGGGACTGACCACGCTGGTGCCCGGGGACATGGGGCCCGGCACGGGCGGGGGCCCGGCGCTGCCGCCCTCCCTGCCGGAGCTCCGGACAAAGACCACCTGGATGGTGTCCAGCTGCGAAGTGAGGCGCGACGGCCAGCTCCAGAGGATGAACTACGGCCGGAACCTGGAGAGGCTGGGGGTGAGGCAGCCGGCTCCGGGGTCGGGGTGGAGGTGCAGCGGGGGCGGGGGCGGGGGGCGGAGGGAGGCCAGGCACTCGAGCCCATCTCACTTTGGCGCCAGGTGGGCAGCCGCGTGGGCATCCGCCGGGGGGCGGACGACACGATGCACATCCTGGTAGACGGAGAGGACATGGGGCCTGCGGCCACCGGCGTCGCCAAGGTAGACCCAGGGAACCTTGGGCTTGGGGAGTGGGCTTGAGGCCTTCCGCGGACCCCTGACTCCTGTGTCGTGTGTGCCCACAGAACGTGTGGGCCGTGCTGGACCTCTACGGGCCCGTACGGAGCGTGTCTGTGGTCAGCTCCACGAGGCTGGAGGAGTCGGAAGGCACCCAGCCTCCCTCCCCCAGCTCGGACACTGGCAGCGAGGGCGAGGAAGATGATGACGGGGAGGAGCACAGCCCGAGGGTAAGAGGCCACGCGGGGCAGGCGGGGCCCGTGAACGGGCGGCTGGGGTCGGTGGTCCGCGGGACACCAGGCTGTCCTGGGGCTCTCTGACCCAACCCCGGGTAGCCGGTCGCCTGTGCACGAGCCCCGTGTAAACGCCCGCAGGGGGTGGCTCATACTGGCAACCCAGCAGCTCGGTCTCTCCTCCGCACCAGGGCCAGAATCAAGTGGCCATTATGCCCACAGCCCTCGAGTTCCTGGAGAACCACGGGAAGAACATCCTCTTGTCCAACGGGAACCGCACCGCCACGCGTGTGGCCAGCTACAACCAGGGCATCGTTGTCATCAACCAGCCCCTGGTGCCCCAGCTGCTGGTCCAGGTGGGCCTCACCTTCTCCGCCGCTCCTCTGGCTTGGGGTGACCCAGGGCCAGCCCTCCTGGAGGAACCCCTTCCCAGCTGAGGACGAGGTGGAAGGCGAGCCCCTCGGATGAGCTTCCTGGGCTTGGGCTCGTGCCCGCGGTGGGGTTCGTAGGTCGCTTATCAGGAAGCCTTACTTGCCGACCGGTGGGGGCGGCGGCAGCGGGCGGGGGCTGGGGGAGGCCAAGAGAGACGCCGGCCCTACGTGTGGGTGCGTGGACGGCTTTGCCGAGGAGGAGGCCTTTCTGCTGCTTGCCACAAACGGAGAGATTTAGTTAGGAAGCCGGGGCATGGGGACCCTTACTGTCCCGACAGCGCCGAGGCTCACGTGGGGGAAGGAAACAAGCGGTTTGTAGTTGGCGGTCCCTCCGGGCGAGGGAAGGGCAGCATCCCAGGCCACGCCGTGGGAGGTCCTGTCGCTACCCCCCTCCCACCCGGCAGGGGTGAGGAGCCTGGTTCTGCTGGGGCGCGGCCTCTTCCCAGCAGGCCGTGACTGGGGAGTAGTTGCCCTTTCCCCAGGTGCGGATAGACTTCCTGAACCGGCAGTGGACGTCCTCCCTGGTCCTGGGCGTCATCACCTGCCCGCCCGAGAGGCTCAACTTTCCCGCTTCTGCCTGTGCCCTCAAGCGGGCAGCCTGGCTGCTGCGGGGCCGTGGCATCTTCCACAATGGTCTCAAGGTGAGTAGGGGGCAGAGAGGAGGGAGGGCTGGGGCCTTGAGTCGGGAGGGTCTGGCCAAAAGGGTCCCCGGCTCCGGCAGTAGGACTGCGGGCGTAAAGGGGCCCCACAGTGGGGTAGAGCCCGTGGTGGGTGAGCGAGAGTGTGGGGGGGCCTTGTCTGGACGCTCAGGCTGTCACGTTGTCCTGGGTTCCCGCCACTGAGCATGTTGTGGGGGGGAGGGGAGTGGGAGGGTTGGCGGGGAGGTGGACTCCAGATGTTTGAGGAGGGGGGTGGAGCCCGGGCAGCAGGCTGGCGTGGAGGCCAAGCCTGGGGCCTGGCAACCGGAAGCAGAGTGAAGGGCGAGCCTGGCTGTTGCCTGTGGGCGTCTGATCTCTGGGAAGACAGTAGGTCTTTCCTCCTAGATCTGTGAGAAGTTTGGGCCAAACCTGGACACGTGTCCCGAAGGCACCGTCCTGGGACTGCGGCTGGACAGCTCTGGGGGGCTGCACCTCCACGTCAATGGGCTGGACCAGGGGGTGGCCGTACCGGACGTGCCCCAGCCCTGCCACGCGGTGGTGGACCTCTACGGCCAGTGCGAGCAGGTCGGCTGTAACGGAGGAAGGGTGGAGGGTGGAAGGGGCGACCGGTGAGGGCACGGGCAGGCCCCGGGGGCTGGGGCACGCCCAGGCTGATTTCCCGCCCCCCTCCCCTGCAGGTGACCATCGTGAGTCCTGAACCAGGGGCTGCCAGTGGCAAGAGTGCGGGAACCCAAGGGGACATGGAGAAGGCGGACATGGTAGATGGTGAGCCAGCCCGCAGAGCCCCGCCCCGCCCACCGTGCCGCGCCGCCCCGCCCCGGCTCCTGTGACCTGTGCCCCTTCCTGCCCACGCAGGTATGAAGGAGAGCGTGTGCTGGGGGCCGCTGCCTGCCGGCAGCCCTCTCAAGAGCTGCGAGTATCACGCCCTGTGCTCCCGCTTCCAAGAACTGCTGTTGCTTCCCGGTGAGTCCCCGGTCCCCCGGGACCCTCCTCGTTCCCCGGGGCAGTGCTGGGCACCTCGGCACCCAGCCTGCCCCTCGCTTTCCCGCAGAGGATTACTTTATGCCTCCGCCCAAGCGAAGCCTGTGCTACTGTGAGTCTTGCCGGAAGCTTCGAGGGGACGAGGCCCACAGGCGCCGGGGAGAGCCTCCTCGGGAATATGCCCTGCCCTTCGGCTGGTGCAGGTTCAACCTCAGGTGTGCGCAGGGCAGGGTCACGCGGCTCCCTTACTGTTCTTTTCCCCTAGGGGAAGGAGGTTCCCCAGGGGGTGCATGGAAGACGAGGCAGAACTTCCTGTAGAGGAGACAGTGTTGGGGAGCCAGCGACCTTTGTCCGGTCTGCCCTGTCTACATCCTAGGGTGAATCCCCGTCTGGAAGCTGGGACGCTAACCAAGAAGTGGCACATGGCATATCACGGGAGCCACGTGGCAGCTGTGCGGAGGGTGCTGGACCGAGGGGAGCTGGGAGCAGGTACCCGGGGCGGCAGGGGCAGGGCAGGGGCAGGGCAGGGCAGGGCGGGTGGGCCCGGCCCCTGGAGGGCGGCCCTGACGCAGCTCTCGTCCTAGGCGCGGCCTCTATCCTGAGCTGCCGGCCGCTGAAGGGCGAGCCCGGGGTGGGGTTTGAGGAGCCCGGCGAGAACTGCGCCCCTCCCCGGGAGGAGCAGCCCCCTCCGGTCCTGCTCTCCCCGTCCCTGCAGTACGCCGGGGCCGAGACCCTGGCATCCAAAGTGCAGTGAGTAACAGAGGGACACGCCTGGGGTCTCCACGTTTTGCCTTCCCTTCTCTCACCTGTGCCACTTGGGTCTTCTCTTGCTCTAGAACATTGTTATATAAGAAGCATTTTCTATTTTTAAAGGTGACAAAAAGGGGGGTGCAGTGGGTCAGAAGTGCGAGTGGAGCGGGCACGGGGAGCAGGGTGGGCAGCGGCCTGCACTCGGAAGCGGGGAGCCGGCTGAGCAGTCGTTGGGGAAGGCGGTAGGGAGGGGAGTGGGGGGAGGGCAAGGCCCCTGCAAGGTGGGGGTGCCCCCGCAGGGCCTGTGTGGCCCTGCAGTTAGCAAGGGGAGGAGAGGGACCAGAGGCCTCACGGCCGGATTTCTTCTCCCCTCGACAGATTCCGGGACCCCAAATCCCAGCGGACGCACCAGGCCCAGGTGGCGTTCCAGGTGTGCGTGCGCCCCGGCTCCTACACCCCCGGGCCCCCCTCGGCCGCCCTCAGAGAACCTCCGGACCCTCACTTCAGCCCAGCTGAACTCGAGTGGGTGACCAAGGAGAAGGGGGCCACGCTCCTCTATGCCCTGCTGGTGCGGGTGGAATGAGGGGCCGCCTGGCGATGACAAGCACAGCGGGGCCCTGGGCCCGGGACTCCGAGTGACGACCGACGACGACGATCGCCCCGGCACGCGCGCGCGGGGCCCGGACAGGCAGGGGGCCCTGGAGCTCGAGTCCTGCCTCCCGCGCCCGCGGCAGCAGAGCCATCCCCGACCGCGCGGCGGGCGAGCGGGAGCCGGGCCCGGCAGCCCCCCTTTCATGCACTGACTTGGGGAGCACGACTCCCCGGACTCCCTCCCCCATACCACTTAATTTATTTCCGTTTTCGTTCCTGTTACTGTGAATCCCGAGCAGCCCGGATCCCCCTCCGGGCCGCCGCTTCCCGGGCCGCCGGGCGGTGGGAGGGCGCTCGCGGGGAAGGCGGGCCTCTGTACAGTTGTTACGGACGCGGGTTTCCAAGCAGCCAATAAACGCCGTCCCGGAGCGCGCGCCTCGGCCTGTTTCTCGCGCGCGCGCACCGCCCCCGCGAGCCCCGGGCCCGCCCCGCCGGGGGCG